GAGAGAGAGGAGATATGTTATCTGCCCGGGGGGCTTAAGGCCAGCCCCCTCCCCGGCTTACCGTATCCCCATTACCCTTCGCCCCTTTATTTTTATTTCACGGCCTCCACTAAAGTTAGCCTTAACGCTCTGTTTACCTCCATTCCTCCTCCTCGACAAATCGCTCTCGCTCCATCCTTTGAGCGGGGTCAGTACGCCCAGGTGGAAACGGAGGATCAAGACGGCCTAAACGAAAGAAAAATGTCATATATTATTTTTTTCCATTACTATTTCGGAAGTAACCATGATTATATGATTATCCTAGTAAAAATTACAATTAATGTCACTATTTTTACTTTCGGACACTATGTTGAAATGTTTCAACATTTACAACGACATAACGTACCTACTTATATCGTAACATTGTACTTATTTCGCCAAAATTCGCTGAAAATTGGCCGTTTAGAAAGAGACAAGGCAATGTAGACATGCTTATCGTTCTCACTTTAACTCCATTTGCTTTCCATGTCAATAAGCACTGAGATATCTTACTGCTAGCATGTATAGGAGAGCTAATTCAAGTATCATCTCGAAATAAATATACATTTTACGCTTTATGAATCTGTTATACAATGATACATAGGGGTATAAATAGCAATTTTATTAAGAAAACGCGGATATGATTTCTGTGGCATTTGTGCATAGTGTGTTAAGTGAAAAAAAACAACATATTAATGGAAAAACGTGATGTTAAATTTCAACCCGTGATTCACACATGAATATCCATCTCTAGAATAGCCACATAACTTAGTCCATTAGACACAAAGAAAAAGGGAAAAAATATGTTTTAAGTAATACCCACAAAATTGCACTTAACACATTTAACATAGGTGCCACAGATTTATTATTTTACTTTTCTACCCTGGTTAAAGTCAGGTTTTCGGATTCCAAAGGGTCTAGAACGGATAAGTGAACTATAGCATTGCAAGAAACACTTAAAATTCAAGAAGAATAGTATTTCTATTTATTATTATTGTATTTATTTATTATTTTAAACATACAAACTGTTATTTATACCAGTAAAAAACCATTCCCTACCCATCTGCAGACATCATAGATAATAGTTCAAATACTATTTGATAATATAACATACTCTATACGAATAATAGTAACATCCATAACCAGTTATACCATTTAATGTGTTATTTGTAGGTAACAAAACCAAAAATGTATCCTAATTTTTAATAACATATAAGCAATCTTGACATGTATAGGAGAGCCAGCTGATATACCATACAGAATGCTGCATTACAACCTTGGTAAATTAAATCACACCGAATCGACTATTCAACTATGGTTTTCGAATATTTTCCATTCCATCTCTAATAGCAGTCGAAAGACACTGGCGACTCTACACCCCATTACATTCGTTAGATGAGGTATTAAGGCTTTCCCCCAGTTGTCCGTTAACATTCCTCAACAAGACACAACCGGACGGAAACAGTAAGCAGTAAATCGTGTTGGTTAGAAGGGGTAGCATTGCCACTAATGAGTGCCCACTGCTAAGTGAAGAAGGTGCTAACGACTGTGTGTACCTGTACCTCTCCCCCCCCCCAATTAGGGTGTACCCTCAGCTCTCTTCTGCCCCCTCCTCACTACTAATGTTCAAGTATAGCTGTACTGCAGAAATTAAATAATAGTTACTTTTTTATATATAAATAACAAATAATAATAATAATACAATATGACTAACTGCTTATAAACTGTAACCAGCCCTTCGTACGTTACTATATATTATACGTTTATTAGAAGATTTTTTTTTATCCTTTACATGACCGTCCAATGCACACTAATATTCTTTACGGAATATTAGAAAAAATTCTTACTAGATAAATTACAATACGCCACAAAGTTTTGGCTCATAGTGAAATAAAATTAATATAAAGTAAAACATAAAAATAAATTATATTTTATTTGTATTTATATATATATTATATATACTCACCCCCATTATATAATGATTGAGTCGGGAAGGCTAACTCCAGGAGCGGGTTGTACACAGTAAAATAATTTTAAAAAAACACTTACGTTCTTGTCCAATTTTCATTTGTTTTGATTTTATTAGCTGATTACAAAAAAAACAAAATTCACCAAATAAAAAAAAATTCATACAAGTATTAGCACTGAAGTATTATTTCAATAAATGTTCGAAAATAAGACTATCAGCTCCTAAACATTAGTCATCGAAGGGCGACAGTCACCCTACAGAAGCATTTTTAATTCGTTGAATTAATCAATCCCGAATGTCTACTTCTACTTTGCATACTTCATCTAAGAACCATCCCATATATAATAATACAGTACTGTGAGGTCTAGAGATCTTTGAGTCCAGCTAATTGGAACACCGCAAATGTTTACTTATCAAGTCAATGTTGATATTTTCGGACATTTATTATTATTAAGCTTCAATAACCGAAACATTAATCCATTTATGAAATATTGTTTACTTATAATTAGAAAATACAATTAAACAAATGAAAAATCTAATAACAATTTTTTTTTTAAGTGAAGACTTCTTTACGCACGTTTTGGATTTTTTTTTTTGTGGGTAGTGAATTAGATTGAGCCGTTAGATCTCCGATGTGTAACGATCGGGTAAAGTCGGCTGGAGTCGACTAATTGAAGTGTTTCTGCATATGGATTAAAATATCTCAAAAACTGAAAATTGGATTTCCATACTGTAAGCGAGGGAAATGATCAATCAACATTTCATCCTCTTTATAATGAACTATTATTTATAATTTATATTGTATATTATTAATATCGCCTTGTTGATGTTTTCAGTTATATCGTATGGTATAAATATCACACTTTAATTTTTTTTTTTTGTATATTTCTGTGTCCAACCCAATTCTGGAGTTCCCTCTATTGACCCCGGCTTACCCTTTGTATGGTCAGAAAGTGGTTTTATTCACTGTTGAGTGTATATATCCTCCTGATATATGATATGAATAACCCTGATATATGAAAATACCAATTGCAATATCGATGGGGTCAGAATCGATTTTAATCATTAGGAATAACCGCTGCGAACGTCATTGCTACATTTGCTGAAAACCCAGGCTGCAAGCCAGGACTGCCAGCCGCAGTATTAACAGCCATCCGATATGTGTTGTATAAAGGCAATGACGCCTTGTATTATATCGTATCCAAAGTCAATTAAGTTGGTAGCGATATTGTGTGTAAGGCGAGTACAACGTTGTGTGTTTGCGAGAATGTTGAACATTTTTAATTTTTTTTATTTTGCTCTTATCAGGAAATTAATGTTTATGACTTATAATTTGATTTTTTTTTTAATGCTTAATTTGTAGCATCGTTAGAGGTAGGTAAAAAGAAAGAAAAATAGTTTCTCTGCTAAACATTTAGAAACTGAATTAATATTCGGCAAAAAATGTTTGAATGTACCATGAGTCTAATTAATGATATAAATTTAAGTTAAGTGAAAATATAATGTTAAAAAAAAAACAATGCACATAATTCTTTAATTAAATGATGAAATACAACGTTCAACGCATCTCAACTCAATTGTAAATCAGCAAGACATCGAAGATTATATTGTTTTCCGTGACAAAATAGAATTTTGATGAAAAAAAATCTGGTGCCCGCATCACACGACTTTCACTTATCACCTTCTTCTTAGCAGAAATAATTACTTTCAGATGAAGGGGAAGTGAAGTAAAAATTATAGACGCTATATTTATTTAAATTTCATTTTGGGTATTTTCATTTGTTTAAATTTCCTTACATAGACAAATTTTAATTTTTATATCTCTCTGAATTTTGTACAATTAAATGTTAAATAATACCAACGATAGCATTTATGAGAACCGGATATGCATATGTACATAATATTGTCCGAGTACGTATTATATTAAGCTCATTCCTTTGGTTCTTCCATTACAACTATTATCAGTTACGATCTCTAATATCTCCTTTAGTTAATAATCAAATGCTTTCATATTTTATATAGAACCATTTTTTGTATCAAAAAAATATGTGAAATGGTTAATTATTTCAAATTAAATAAAATAAATGTAATTTAGAGTAAACTAATATTGAAAATCAGCCATTTAAGTAAGAGAAAATCAATGAGACTAAAACCTACATTGAATTCAAAATTGCTTAATAATACACTGATATACTGAGTTTAATCCAAATCTTTAGAGCTGTTTTTAAGAAAATCGTAAAAATGTGCTAAATCGATTATATAATGTACCACTTACGGTATTCCGATTTTGACGAAAATATTGCTGTAACATCCAAGGATGATAAAAAACCTCAAATACGCAATTTCAGATTCGTACGGCTTTTCGTTTTTGAGCTAGGCTGTTCACATACGTACACACTCACAGACCATTTTGTGGGACTTGGTTATTTGGACTCAGGGGACCCCAAAACGTGTATTTCCGTTGAAAAGTCAAATTCGAAAAATTTCTCGATCGCAATACTTACTTACACTTATTACATATTACATATATAAGTAAGTTAAAGTAAAAAAAAAAATGATTCTAGCCTGCTCGGTATTAATTGAGTTTCAGAATCTTAACTGATAACATTCGATTTTGTTATAAAATGTTACGTCCTCAATAAATGTTTCCTTGCCCTTAGTAGGCGCATATGGTATACTATGGTGCGTGGCAAACGATCAAAGATTTAAATTACTTAATTTCATAATAAGCCCAAACAACAATGGCAAAATCACGAGATTTTAGTTTTTTTTTTCCATGTAACTATTTTAGAAAGAAATAGGTAACAAATTTAAAAGAAAAAAAAAAAACAAGAATGAATGTGATTCAAGTGCTTAATCACTGGAGACGGCTGGAAGTTGAGAAAAAGGGTGACACAGTCTCACTTTATTATGTTAATGTATTATAATAATTTCCAAGAATGTTCTTAAAATTACTCGGCAATAAGAATGGTCTTTGTGTGTCCGAAATACCTGAACCAGAGGGACATGGACAATGGCCGGACAGAACAGAGAAGTGGAGGGCAGCCGAGAATTTGACAAACAGGGCCGATACAAAGGCGTGGAAGGGGAATGTGCTAATTGCGAAGGTGTTTGGAAGAAGAAGGAAAGAGGAAGAAAAAAAAAAAAAAGAAAAAGTAAAAAACGGCGAGAGGAGGAAAAAAGACAGATTGAGTCGCCGGGAGGAACGAGAAGAGCCCTCAGGAATCTGGTCCCGCCCGTCCTCGCAATTCTTTCTGCCCCTCGCTCAAGAAAAACGACTTCATTCCCTCCGGGTATCGTATCCTGGTCCGGGGTATTTCGGCCAGGCCCGAAGCTGTCCTCCTGGGGAGGGGATGCAAATGTCGCACCTGGGAAAAGGAAAACGAACGAGGAGATCGTCTGTTATGAATGGCGGGCCAAATCCCTTACTTGAGCTCAAAAATAAAACGTTTCCGCCGAATATGATTGGGGAAAAAAACTGAAACAATATTATTTAAAAAATAAAACTGGGCTGTCAAAATTTGAATATCATTTGATCCCCCTAGTTATACCATCATATATCTCTCCAAGTTTTTTTACGATTATTTAATGTTGGTGAAACATTCAAATATAAAAAGTAGGATTATTAAAAGAATAGTTTAAAAATGTACTTGTTTCTTAAACATATGTATTGAGAAATATTACGATCGGTATCAATAAGGAACATTAATTGATTCCCTGGGAAATCAAGAAGAAATCGCTACCAAAATTATGAAGTTATCGCTGAAAAATTATAAAACAAACATGACAAGTTTATAACTAATGATCCTTTGCAGATTTATTTATTATTATTTTATTTTATTTTTAATTTTAATAGTTCATTTATTTATTTATTTCAATTCACTTATTGATTTCATTCCTATTTTTTTTTACTTTATTTATTTATCTATTCTATCTAATCAACTATAAGTATCTATTACTTGTTTATTTTATTCTATTATTTTATTTTTTTTATTTTTTTGTACCAACTACCTGAACAGAATAAAAATAGTGTTATTTAGTTGATCGGGCGTTGATGAGCTGGATGTTTTGCACCCATGAGAGCATATTCACGCTCTATCTAAAAAATAATTAGAATTTCTTATGAATTTTTAGTCAAAAAATGTAAACAAATTTCAGCATTAGTTCGTCACAATAAAAAAAAAAAATCCTGTAATTCAATTTTGGTTTTATTTATTCCAGCTTATGATATATGTTTATTAACGTATGTTTTTTGTCAATGTGGTATTGTACCAACAAAAAAAAAAATTGTCGACGAAAAAGTTGCTGTAACACCTCGGTCATATGAGAACCTTAAATATATGATTTCTATTTTTTTTACAACTTTTTATTTTTGATATAGAATGTTCAAAAACACATACACAACGCCCCATTTTGTGTGACTTGGTTATTTTGATTCAGGTTTTTTTAAAACTAGTTTGTAATAATTAATTACTTATTTTTTTCAAGACGGTGAAATATTACTATTTATTACTTAAATCAAATTAAAACGAATCATTTGTATAGCAGAATAAGATGGCTTATAGTTCTATCAATTATGGCATCATAAATGTAGGTGATAACTTATATGTATTGCCTCATTCATGTATAACTGTTTTAAGATAAACAGACGAATCTTGTAAGAGTTCATTTTATCCGCGATGATACAAATAAATACTCTGTACATGATGTCGGAGTAGAAGCGTTTAATATTAAGCGAGGAAACGCAAACGAAGCAGAAGGAATAATATTCGCAATGAAGAATAAAATGTGTAAATGGTTTGCGTAGGGTGGAGTAGAACGGATGCTTTTAGCAACAGTCCCTTCCCTTATCTTCGCTGAGGACTTGGGCTACCAATGAATTTGCCTTTATCTTAACTTCTTTTCCTTTCTTCTTTTTGAACTTGTTTTATTTATTTCGTATGATAGTATAGGTGTGCATTGTGAATCTTAATTATACACACACTCCATTACTTCTATGCGTAACTTGACAAAATGGAAATATTTAAATGCGAACCAGGTTTATACGAGACAATTGATTATATCGAGAGGATTATATCGTCGGCACCATGTAAACGTAACGAACATTAATCTGGCACGGTTTCATATTGGTTACTTTAACATGGCTATTCATGTCTCTAAAAACCTTAAATTAAGGATGTATAATGACGATATGATCAATCACTGTTTATATACGGCTGCGAGCATTGGACACCAGAGCAGAAAGATTTGAGAAGAAACTCTCAACCTCAGTGGTCTGGGATGAGAGTACTAATTCATAGCGGATAAGAACCGATAAAGAAATAAACAATTCGACATGATATTACAAGGAGGTTAAGATGGGCGATTCCTGTAGCTCAAACTTCGGGAAACCATATATAATAAAATATATATGAACCAGTTAATTGAACTTTTTTCGAAACTTTTCAACCAAAAAAAGATAACTAAATGAAAGTAAGAAAATCTGTTCGCATCACACAAGCTTCACTATTACCTCTACTTTTAATAGAAATTATTGTTTGACAAAATTAGGCTATGGTAAAAGGTTTTTGTATCAGCAATATTAGAGGGTATTGAAATGTTTACACTGATCTACCTTAAGCCGGTTTAGATTGCTTTAGTTTATGGAATAAATAGTACGCAAATATTTTCTTTGATCAATTTTCAGGAAAATGAATCTAATTCAATTTTTTTTATGAAAATATGCAAAGATATAAAAACTTTTCTGAAATAGGTGGAAAATTCGTGTGAGTGGACACACCATATTTTTTAATATTGTACAAATAAAGTTTCCTTCTCTTCATGATATTTTTTAATGATTTTCCTATTTAGGAGATTTGGTTAATTTTTTAAATTAAAGGAGATGATGATCTTTAATTATTTCAGCTCAATCATTGGTTTATAAAAACAGAAATAATATACAAAGACTATTACTGAAAATAAATCGTCTCAGCTATTAAGAAAGGTCAGGTACATAGCTATCTAAAAACGGAGAGTAAAAATTAATTATGAACACTTTTCATGATAAAGATATAAAAATGGCAAAGAGTTTGTCATAGGCGGCCATTTCAACAGGTGGTTTATCAGTTGCTCTTCTGTTCCCGCCGCCGCGCCTTCAGGTATTTAACTCATTTCAAACACCTGTTCCCGCCAAAAAAGGCAGGAAGCAAATGCTCTATATTATTTCATAATTTATCCTTGATTCTTTTATTGTACATTAGTATGGCTTTTATTATATATAAAGAAATTTATTGATGGATTACTGATATTATCAACAAAAAAAAAGTTGAAAATACATTTTAAAAAAATTAAAATAAAATTAAATAAAAAATAAATAAAATTAAAAAAAGATTTTACTACACATCAACTATGTTTAGCGAAGTTTTTTTTTTTATCCGTAATTACTTAAGTCCAAAAATATACAACTCCATTTAAAATCAAATTTCTTCCTACTATAAAAATGTTTCCAGTCAAATATAGTGGAACATTTCAATATCTTTCTTTTTTTTTTTTTTTTACAGGAACATATATTTCATGAATGTAATAAAAACAAAATTTAATGAAAGAAGGAGTCAAGTGAGGAGTTGATAATTTAGCCGAAAACTTTATCCTAGCGTTGCCTAAAATATTTTGCAATACCTGTTAACCGATGATTTCTTCAAATATTTTTTCAATTTTCAATATTATGGCAAATATTTTTAACGGGGCTAATAAATGATTTAGTGTTATCACGCGTTAATCGAGTTCGTCACTTTTTAAATTAAATTCATCAAATTCCGACACGATAATCCTAATCAGATGACCTAATAGTAATTATACCACTCCATTCGACTCATCAAAGAACAATAAGTTCCTCAACACAACAACTAATGCATTCAGTGATCGTTTAAATAGTCGTTACAATGCTGTTATTTATCATAGCGACCGTTTTAAAAAGTAACATTAGCATAGGTAGAGACGTAGAGTGAGAAATAGAGAGAGAGAGAGAGAGAGAGAGAGAGAGAGAGAGAGAGAGAGAGAGATTTGGAAGAGGTCGTTCCAGTTATGCCAGACTCGACCAATTAAAAACGCGGACGAATCAAATGCTTTCTAAATCTGAATATAATTAAAATTAGAGGACAGGGGGAATTATTTATGAGATGAAATAATTGGAGGTGTCATTTAAATATTGGGCGGAACAGAAGAACAATGAATATAGACGTCTACATTTGGGTGCTGTGGTCGTGTAGGTGTGTGTGTGTGTGTGGCCACGTAACGAACGGGCACAGCGAGTACAACTCAAACCGTCACAGTCAATATGATAACTCAGAAATAACTAAAATAATAATTCATTTTATTTATAAATTAAGTTAATACCTAATTATTTTATCGAGGAAACAAAACAAAGGAAACAAAGGTTTCAGAGGTTTAGTCGTAAATTTTGATACCTAAATTATTATATTATAATAATATTAAAAGATAAATAGCAAAAGTATAAAATCAAAAATATTGAAGACTATAAAAACTGTTGTTTTGTTTTTACTACTTAATAATAAACTTTGAATTCATGTTCAATCTTTGTCGTATGATTAAGAACCATACGTACATTAATAAATTATAAAATCAATCCGTTGTTTTCCATTAAGAAACAACGTATATCCGATTCTACTAATTGTAACATAATGAGCAAATTTAAATAAATATGAACACCTAACCATAGTCTAGATTACTACAATATTATTTTCATGATTGTTATACTATATATATATATATATATATATACATATATTGCGAATCTTGAGGTGCACTCCATAAATGTACAATTATATTCTGACAATGTTTCAAGTCATTATTTTTTTATATTCCTGCCAACTATTGAAAATTAATTTTAATAAAATTTAACCACAAAATAAAAAACTGTTAACTATATTGGGCAAGTTTTAACCTAATATTTATAAATGAAGAAAAATACATATTTTTATTTTTTAACGGAATCAAAAGATCATTTAATATATTAAATTAGTCTTATAATTACAATACAATAATCTTCTTACCCACAGCCACAAAGTAAACAAGAATTAGGAACTCACCTGCAACAAAACAAAACAAAAATATTAATATGATATTTTATCCATTTTATAATTTTTGTAACAATGTAAAATAGATTGTTAATCTTTTATTGTCAAAATAACTCTTGATTTCATAAAATAAATACAATTTTTTAACATAATTAATATTAAAGTTTTATCTACGCAGAGTAGAAACAACAAAATAAAAATAAATTTACAATTATCTTTAATTGTTCACTATATTTACAAAAATATATAATTAACTCCTAGCAATAAATATAAAAAATATTTTTTATAATTGTTCCGGTGTAAAGATGTGCAATTGTGTACACTGGCATGTATATATAACATTACGCGATGGAAACCC